GGATTAATTAACTTTATTTCATACCTCTTTCAGCATCCACAGTTGATGTTAATTCAATGTGTGCATGGTCGTCCCTAAGCGTTATAGCATTAATGTCAGCGTAAAGATCTAAAACAGGAAAAAAACATTATTGTAGTTTTATTAATACAGAAATTGCAAATTGGTGAAATAATGTTGGGTTATATGCAATGAGAGACAAAATAAACATCACTAATAAAGTGACAACCAAATTTGAAGTTGTTTTCATTGTAATATTTTATGATGTTATTCTAAATATATGGTCCATTCCTTGATACAGTATTAGTTTATTACTTACCAAACAACTTAAACAGATGTTCGACTGTTACGTACTGTGAATGAAGGCAAATAAATTTTATTAATACACTATAAAAATTACATATTCATTTATAATTTCAATTCAAAGTATTATTGTTACCTGATGTATGTTCGACACATAAATGCAACAAGTTTGATCACTTTTTGCAGTCACTGGCATAATGGCATGTGGTGCTGCCACGTTCATAAGTGGTTTATATTTAGCCAATTCATTGATTGCATGATCCCTTTGAATTTTGGCTAACTCGCATTGTTGTTGGGATTCTGAAGATCAAATGGAAATTTATTAAAATCAATGGCATGGTTCTTATTAGAAATGTAAGCATGACATGTACCTTGTAGGTTTGCGCGCAATTCCATTATTTTGGCCAGACAAGTTGGTGAAGTGCATGCCATGTTGAAAGAATGAGTTAGAACCTCAGGTCAATCGCTAAACATGAAATGGTTAGGTTAGTTAATGAACAAGTTTGGTTAATGTATTGTAACTTGTGTTACAGGGGAAATTTACGTGAAGTAGTGTTAGTGAATTATTATTTGCAAAGGAATCATGGTTTTAATGTAATATTATATTGATCCATATGTATACGTGCATTCAAAGAAGAAGAATTGCACGTCCCATCATGTCTGATAAAATGTCGAATAGCTGTGAATATCTTTTAAGAAATAAATTTTTTATTTTGCATAGATATAGATTATTGATGGCGTTTTATATGAACCTTATTTCTGTAATGGAAGTTTAAATGTCTTACCAATTGGAATAATGGTGCCGACTGGGCAAGATGTTCGCAATCGCAAGTAGTCAGTTACCTTGCGGGAAAATAGCAATGGCGGAAATGGTGGAGTTGCCAACATATATTGTGTGTATTGTTTAAAATGGTTTTTTTAAATTTTCATTCAATTCTTTCATAAAACAGAAAGTAATAATGCGGATGGGAGCATTGTTCCTAAGTGCTTTGTACCTAATCCTGTTGTCATAATGTCTGTTTAATTACATATAGAAATGAAAGTTATGAACATAAGTCTTAATGCGTATAGAGAGCCACATTTTTATAACTCATGTTCTTTTTCTAGAAAATGAGAGATATTTCCTTAATTTTGAGATGTTATTATAGGAAGTGGAAGTTGTTATAACAACTAAGATCTTATTACAAAATCTCAAAGATGTTGTAACAAGACGTTACTCACTTCATTAAATGCTCAGAAATGGTTCAGCGTACTGCATTTAGCGTACATCACTTTTCTACTATAAGAACATGAAGTTATAACAACAAGTTTAAGTTATTATAACAAATCAAAAATGTTGTTATCATAACTTCCAAACGCACTCCAGGGGCCCAGCGGCACTGTTTGGCAACACTGGAGCCTGTTGGTTTGCCTAACCCCACACTGACAGGCGCTTCATTGCAGCTCGGGAAAGTTATTTTCGTAACTTCTGACTATAGCATAGCACAGGTGCCTTGTAAGTAGGCAACGAAGATGTAGCCGTGCCAATTGGGTTGCCTACCTCCGCACTCACAGGGGCTTCCCTCGGCGACACCGGTGCATTTCGGCTGCTTCTATCGGTGAGTGGAATGAACAAACATCAAATCTCTGATTAAAATACACTGTCAACTCGTGACCGGCCAGTCACAAGTTGTCCCTTCCCGGCTGTGTCCAAATGCGGACTCGTGACAGTGTCGTCACAGAATAGCTTTTTTCAGTGTTGTTTAAAGACGCTTTTTCACAACTGTTGCTGGTGTTGGTTTCCCTCACCTCACTGATAAGTTAAGTGTGCAACTGCACTTCAATAGATTGAACTCTCACTCTGCCGGAAGTGCTCTATAAAACAGTTACACACTTACAAGGAGTGCACTCCTATCGAATCGCACTGAAAAACTAAGTGTGCAACTGCCAGTTGAATACTTGCAAACTTTGCAACTGCTCAGTTGAGCACTTCCCTAGATAGAACGCTCAATGTGTAGTCAGTGCTCAATTAAGGAGTTGCACACATGCAAGTATTAAACTTGCAGTTGCACACTTACAAGTGTTAAGCAGTTGCACACTTAGTTCATCAAAGCTCTGTGCGTCTTTGTGGTTTAAACGCAGACTCGTGACAACGTTGACACAAAGTGTCCCTCCCCCTGTGTGTATTAAAATGCAAATTCGTCACAGCTGCGTTGGGTTTTTGAAGGTCACTATCAAATACTATCACAATCACAGGGGGAAAGGGAAGTCCAGCACCCAAGTCTGCGAGACTGCTACCGTGACACGCCAGAGCACTTTCCTAGCCAAGTGGTCGTCATCTCCTCTTTGCCGTATAGCCGCCAACGGAGGAGAACATAATTGCAATTAATATGAGTGATTCGCTTTACGTTACGCGTTACGCGTCACGCGTCACAAACGCCAACGCCGTTCTCCCTCGCCCTTAAAGCAGGGCCTGCCGGCGCTCTACTCCACGTCGCCATGCTCGTCAGTGCACTCTTGCAGCACACCGCTCCGCGCGCCGACCGGGTGCGGCCCCGTACTCGGAGAGCACGTTGTTCACCGTCCTGGGGGTCTCCGAAGAGGTTCGTGGAGGTGAAGGGGCCAGTCGACGTCACGCCGCCGCCACCCTCGAGGTGAACGTGGCGGTGGACAACGGGGGCTGGGAGCTGGTGGGGGCGCCCAGCCCAAGAACCCACAGAGCTCCACGCGAAGAAAGTGGTCCTGGAACTGGCGGGGGCGCCCAGCCCACGCCGCCGCCGTGCTCCAAGTAAAGATGAACCTCGCCGTGTACAAA